AGAAAGGCAGCTAGGGCAGAAGATGTGGCAGAAGACAAAGTCCAGGTGCCCACGGGCAGGGCGCAGGCTAAGCCCATCCTCCACCTGTGGGACAGGCACAGGCTTCTGGCTTCCCTTATAGGGTACCGGGTGACCCTAGATGACCTAATGGTGCCACAGAAGTTAGTGCTGCATGGGTCCGGCGAGATAGCCCAGTGGTCTAAAGCGCCTGCTTAGGCAAGCTTAGGCAAAAGCACAGAGACCACGGTTTGATCCCAGGCACCACATGACACACTAGCCCCACCTCCAGGGTGGGCTGAGTTGGCCACAATAAATAAATAAAATAAAATAATTAAAAAAAAAGTTAGTGCTGCAGGGCCAGGGAGATGACTCAGTGGAATAAGAGCTTCCCTGGGAAGCGCAAGGGCCTGAGTTCAATCCTCAATTCCATCAAGAAGGAGAAGGAGAAGGAGGAGAAGAAGAAGAAGAAGTTAGTGTTGAAATTAGTGTTGCATCAGGTGTGGCTTTGGAGCACACAGCCTCCCACCCTGTTTGGGTGCCACCCAGGCCTGATCCCTCCCTGGTTTCTCTCAGATCCTGTAGATGTCACCCTGTTCTCAGCCTCAGGTGGGTGTCTACAGTATGACTGTCCCTTCCTTCTGTGCTAGTGGCACTGGAATGGAGGCCTGTGTACTGGTGCAGCTGCAGCCCATAGCAGTGGCTCTCAGCTGTGCTATGTTGGAGGGACAGCTGTGGGCAGTGGCATGGTGTGGGCAAGTGGAGGCTTTCTCGAATCACAGGACACCCACAACCCTATCCTGAGTCTCTGAGGCAGGCAGTGAGGACCCCTGGAAGAGTTGTATTAGAGGTCCTCTGGAAAGGCTGAAAGGCACAATGAAGACTTCTCCTCCTTCACTCATCCTTGTTCACTCCCTCCAGTGATTTTTTTTTTTTTTTTATGTGTCACAGAGTCTCGAGCTCCATTGGATGAATGAGTGAATGAACAAATGCCTCTCAGCTTGCTAAGCTTTCCCCATCTTGCTGTCCTTTCTTTGTGTTTTCTTTCTCATTCCTATCGCTGCAGCTGTATGGCCCCAGATTCATGATGGCAAATCTGGAAGTGGAGCTGCCTGCACTGGGCAGGGCTGTTCGGCTCAAGGGCAACAAACCAAGAGCTACTGGCGCTTCCAGGCATGGCAGACCTGGGCCCCGTTTCTCTCTGCAGGCCTTTCCGGGTGACAGTTTGCTCTGCTGGTCTGCTTGCCTCAGATGCTACCTGCTCGGGCTCTAGGACAGCTGGCTATGGGACAACCCTGGCTCCTAGAGGCTTCCTGGTCCTGTTTCTGCCTCTCCACTAGGGAAGGGCCCATTCTGGTCATGCTCTCAGTGGCCTCCAGAGCCTCTCCATGGAGAAGTCTAGTGGCCTGACCAGGGTCAGCCTTGTATGTAGGTTCTGGCCCCTCATTCCCAGGAGCCATGGTCCCAGGATTCACTCACAATGACCATGCTTGACACTGTTATAGTGGCCAAGGGTTGCAGGGTCTCTGCTTGTCTGGCGGGGCTGTGTGCTGTCCTTGGAACCAGAGTGGTTTCAGTCCCACTCAAACCATAGAGCCTGTGAACGTGTTGGGGAAAGGGATGCCCCCAAATGTCCTGCCTATTGGCAGTCTTCAGTTCTTGTGAGAAGAGTGGGGACATATAACAGCCCTTTGCATGGGTCAGTAAGGTGTGACCACAGGGTACCTCCCATCTACTTGAGATCCAGAGTAGGTCCTGGAAGGATCAACCTCCTGAAAGGCTTTGGCTGGGTGTTCAAAAAGGTCCAGCTAGCCCTGGTTTGCTGCCTGCTTCGTGTTCTACTTAGTCAGTATGATCCAGTCAGTGCCCACGCTAGGCCACAGCTCTCTACCAACCCAATGAGCTGCTCCCCAGGGCCACAACCCAGCCCGCAAAATCACAAGACCTGGTTCCTAACAAAGGCTAAGTGGACAGCAATCCAAGAGGTGGCCACAGGCAGGCCACAATGCTGGCTGATGTGAACAGGCCAGGGCATGTGACTGTGATGGGTGGTGGTGGAGAAACACCCCAAGGCTGAACCCACAAGATGGGAATGTACTGAAAGAGGGAGCCTGGTGATTAGATCTAAACTTCAGAAATCCCTGCTGATGCTGTGTGGAACAAGACGGAGGGCCCAGAGTGTTGGGCTGGGGCCAGCCTTGAGGCAAGGACACTGGCCTAGAAGCCAGGCTGTGGCCCAGAGTTTCACAAAATAAAGGTTAAGCTTTGTTTTACTTTTAGTGATCTCTGACCCTAAAAGACCACAGGTCATGCATGTTATTAAAAGAGTGGATTCTCGGAGAGTCATGCATGGTCAGGTCCCTCTAAGGTAGAATCTGTCAGTCCTATCCAGGGAGATCCAACATAAGTCACCCGGACTAGAGTGCACACATCTCCCCAGTCCAAAAACCTGATTTATCCTTTCTCCTTCATGTTCTTCTGTAGGCCTGGTGTGACTTGTCCCATTCATGTCACCTGCTGGTTCCTGTTGGCATGAAGCAAGGCACACTTTCCCATTAGCTTCAATAAATGTAGCTGGTTTTTCTTTTACCACTGGGTATACACTGACAGTTCTTTGCTTGCTGTACACAAAAAACCTGGAATCTATTTATCAGATACATCACACACAGTATCAGGAGGATGCAATACTAGAGCAGTCCTGCCCTGGAGATACAGTTAGGGACAAATTTGGTCATATTATTCTGTAGGAATAAAGCAGCTGTCCAGCCCTGCCGGGCAGCTTGGGAAGATCCCTGACACCTTCTACCCACACTGACCATCCTAAGCCAGAGACAGATGGGGGCGCACTGGCACCTACCTGCTCATATGCATGGGTACCTGGCATAGTAGCATGCTGCCAACCAGCTGCTTACCACGAATGCCTATGTGTGCACGATGAGCCCTTGTTGACCTGTCTCTCAGGCTGGAACAGGAGCCAGGACCCCAGAACTGGAAGGTACCACTTAGTACATAGACCACCTCCTTTCTATTGCCTGCGCAGCACCACAGCACTCTTTCCCCTGAGCTTGAAGGACTCCTCAGAGTCTTTCTGAGCATAGAACCCAGGGGTATCATTAACTAATGACAGCAGAGAAGAGGAGATGGCACTGAGTAAGCCTCTGAGGGTCCAGGAGGAGAAGCCCCTTTTATCTCAGTGCTATCTCTTGTTTCTTTTCTCAAGGAAGCCTGTGGCTGATGAACAGCTGAAGCGGCTATTGGGGAGGTTGAGATGGGCCTTGTAGCATCTGAACAAGGTGATCTTGGTGGCCTGGCCCTCCTTGGCCACTGAGAAACTCTCTAGTGGAGCTGCTGGCCTTCCAGGAGCTTATGGATGCATGGCTTTTCCACCTGTTTGGCCTCTAAGAGGATGTGGGTTAAGGGGATGAGTCCCATTGCTCTTGGGTGTGACTTCTAAGACCAGACTCATGTGGGAGTGCGGGAGGCCCATATGGAGGATTCCAGGCTCATCCAGGAAGCCTACAAGCTCCTCTTCCAGCCTTGGGAAGACATGACGCTCAGCAGGACCCTCAGCTGCCACAGAAGCTGGTGCAGCAGCTGCAGGAGCTTCTCCACTGAGGGGGCACATCCTGCGTGCTCCCCTGGACTCAGCTGCCCATAATAAACATTCTCTGTGCTGTCCCTTTGGCTCAGCCTCAGTCTCTCTCTGGAAAGTGGGGATCATTTCATTTCTGAGCTAAGGCCGCAGAAGAGAAGAAACTCTTCCAAGATGACACAGAACAGGTCAGCGTTCTGGCCTCCCCACAGGGTCTCTCATACTATGCCCAATCTTCAGGCACACAGTCTGGCCACTTGGTCTTAATCTAGGTCGGGAAGCTTCTGGGTTATTTTCTTGGCACTATCTGGCTGTCTACCTCCAACTCTCCTGGTGTCCCTAGTGCCCCTCCTGCTTTCATCCACTGTAACAAAATGCCTGAAGTGTTTCACTCATAAAGAGAAAAGGTCTATTTTTGTTTCCCAATCTTAGAGGTTCCAGTCTGTGACTGGGTGGACCCACTGATGTCCAGCCCCTGGTGGGCTCCTTGAAATGGCAGGGAGCAGAGGCAGAGTGAGCTGCTTACTTTGTAACCACAAAGCAAAAGAGTAAGAAAGGGAGAGGCTAGTGCCCACAATGGCCTTCAAGGTACCCCTCCCCATGACCTCATTTCCTTCCACTCTGTCCTCCTCCTAAAGATGTCACTGCCTCCTGTAGTCCCATCCTGGGGACCAAGCCTCTATAGTCAGAGAAAGTTATCTTAAAGGAAGAAAGATTTATTCTGGCTCATTGGCCTCAGAGGTTTCAGTCCATGCTGTGTGGACTCTAAGGCAGGAATGGCACAGTGGAGAAACACTGCTCACCCCTCAGTGGCCAGGACGCACACAGCATGGAAAGAGGCTGGTGAGAGAGGAAGGCGCGAGGGACAAGGTCCTCTCTTCAGAGGCCCATGCCCAGTTGCACTTCCCCGCCTGGGCCCACTTCCTGAAGCTTCCACCAGCTCCCAGTAGCTCTCTCCTGGAGCCCAGCCTTAAGCAGCTTGAACACACGGACCTGTTGGAATGTGGGACACCCAGAACACAGCACCCAGCTCTGGGACCTCTTTCTCCCAGCCTTTGGCAGCCACAGTTCAGGCCAGATTTATTGGTATCTACCCCCGGTCCTCACTTCTGCTCTCACTGCCTGTCTCACTCTGGCCCCTGCAAGGCTGCTTCTGCCATGTTCTGCTTGGGAGGCCTGGCACTGGGAATTCCCATGCATGAGCCCTTCTCGAACAAGGCAAGGCAGGACCACAGAGCAGCAGCACACCTGGGAGCTACTCTCAGCCTGCCCTCTTTTGCCAGGACTCTCTCCCCACCTCTGGGTCTCCTCAGATTCTTACTGTTATGAGAATTCCAGGCTTCTTGGCCTCATAACAGTATGATGGGGAACAAGAAGTTCCAGAATGCAGTCAGGTCAGAGGGCACAAGGCCAGGGTCTCAGGCTGCACAGAGACTCAGGTCTGTGGCTGGCCTGCTACAGCTGCGGGACCCAGCATGGGCCTGGAGCTCTTCATGGACCTGCTGTCAGCGGCCTGCCGTGCTGTCTACATCTTTGCCAGGAAGAACAGCATTCCTTTCGACTTCCAGTTCGTGGATCTGTTGAAAGGTGAGTCCTCACTTCTGTTCAAGCAGGCTTGGTCCTAGGGGGACAGCCAGGACACCCAGGCTGGAGCATTTCTGAGGAGCAGAGGCAACAGACCAAGGAGATCCTCACAAAGGTGAAGGGAAAGAAAAGGTGACAAAGGTGGCAAGGCCCCCGGGCTGCATCCCTGCCTAACTGCCTTCACCAAGCCCACAATGACAGCCACCTGATGAGATGGAAAAGCTCCTGGACAAAGGGGAAGAAAAGGGTCCTGGGGAACACCAGGCTTCCAGTCAGGTACCTGACCATGTCTCACATGGGACGTGCATTGTGTTATGGGTAGTATCTGCCAGCCAGGCTGGGGAAGGTCACAGTCATGCCCCGTGAGAAGGCAATCAGTCCACAGCCATCCTCCCTGGATATCCTCATTAGGAGGATGCTTGCCTAGCATGCTTGAGGCTCTGGGTTTGATCCTGAGAACCACACACACACCGATTATATGGAAAGTTAGGTTGGGTATAGTGGTGCACCCCTGTAATCTCACCTCTTGGGAAGCTGAGGTAGGAGCATCATCATGAGTTCGAGGCCAGCCTGCACTACAAAGCGAGGACTTGTTTAAAAAAAAAAAAAAAAAAAAAAAAATATATATATATATATATATATATATATATATATATATATATATATTTCAGAGTTATACAGGCCCTGCGTGAAGATTAAGGCACTGGCTCCCAACTCACTTCAAGAAAAGAAAAGGCAGGGTCTGGCAAGATAGCTCGGCTGACTAAGCACCTGCTTTGGCAAGCACAGGGACCAGGGTTCTATCCTGTCCCGCATGCCACGCCAGCCCCACACCCAGGGTATGCTGAGCCAGTAAATGAGTCTGGGTATGGTGGCGCACGCCTGTAATCCCAGGGCTGGAAAGGCTGAAAACAGGAGGATCACCACGAGTCTGAGCTGTGTAGTGAGATCCTGTACCAAATACATTAAAAAAAAATAAAATGAAAAAAGAAAAGAAAAGGCAGTTGGGTATGGTTGCACATGCCTTAATCCCAGCACTCAAGAGGCTGAGGCAGGAGGATCCATGTTACTTTGAAACCAACCTGGGCTACATATCGAGACCCTGTTTCAAAAACAGAAAGGCTTGGCTTACAGAGACAAAGGCCTCAATGAGGAGGAGGCATGGGAGCTACAGAAATAAAGTTGGAACGGAAGCCCCAGAAACCTTTCCACCTGAGGTATCACACCAGCTAATGTGGGTTACAGGCACAGAAACACAACTGACTGTGCCGTATGTGGCCCCAGGGAAAAGACAGAGAGGTTGGCTACTCCACAGACAGAGCAGAACATGACAAGAGTCACATTTTACTTTTACAGGGTCTCAAAGAAATATCATGAATCATTCACAGCTTTTTCTCCAAGGGGGCAGGATGGAGTTTATTTGCACCACTCCTGAAGCCCACCTTCTCCTCTCAGGCAGCTTGCTGGCTTCACTGACACCTTTTCACCTCTTATCACCAAATATTGCAATTGCCTGCTTGCTCTCCTGGGGACTAACACTGCCAAATCCTGCCCTGTGACCTGCCTCAGAGGCAGCTGGTCAGGAAGGGTGACAGTTTCTGCCCCCTTTGTGGAGTCCCTGTCCAGCTCAGACAACCCCAGTTGTATCTGAAGGACTCCCCTGCAGATTCTCAACTTATGCTCTGGACTAAACTTCCTGTGCCATCAGCTACCCCTGCCCTGCCTCTCTAAAAAGGAGGACAGTGGAAGGGATGGCAGGATTAGAGGGGCGGGACACGGGGCCAGGGCACATTCACAGGCTATGGCTTCAGGCCCTAGGTGTTAGGCAAGGGGGCTGGAGACGTCCAGCTTCTGGGAGCCAAAGTGTGTCTCGGTCCAGGGGGAGAGGGGTCACTGAATGTGGGGTGGACACAGGCAAGGAGGCAGGAATCCTGCTCTGCTACTGACTCGTGGCCTGGACAAGCCACACCGTTCCTCAAGTCAGCCTCACCGTCTTAGCACAGAGCAAAGGCATTTCTGTCTCTCAGAGTCCCGTTTTCTCTTCCCTGGCATCCCATTAGTCTCAAAGTCTCCCTGCCCCTCTCAGGTCACCACCACAGCAGGGAATACATCGAGATTAACCCCCTAAGGAAGTTGCCCGGCCTCAGAGATGGAAAATTTATCTTATCTGAAAGGTAAGGACCCCTTCCATCATCTTTCTCTGCTGTTCCTGGGAGACTCAGTGGGGACCGACCACTAACATTTATTCAGCTGTCTGCTGTGGAACATTACTCACAGGTACTAAAGGAGGCTGGCTGCTAACGAACAGTACAAGACCCCATGCGTCTATTTGCCCGCTCCAGCGACTGTTGCTTGAGCACATATCGTCTCATATGCACCCTACCCAGTTCTCCTTCCGTCTGGACCCTCCATCATTTTCCTCACAGTTATGGCTATATGTAGATGTTCCCCCAAAGCCTCCTGCGGCCATAGGTGGGGCTTTGTCAGAGGTGGCTGGATCTACAGTGTGTAATGCTGGAATTGGCTCATGATACAGTGCTAGGCTCAAGGGCACCAGGATTAAGGGTCTGAGTGCTACCTGCTGTCAGTAGCCTGAATAAGATAAAAGGGGCAGAAAGAACTGTGGTCCGCCCTGGTTGTTTCTGTTGTCTTGTGAGCACCAAGAGCTGTCTCTTCTGTGATGTCCCTCTGCCAAGCCACCCTGCCTTGGAGCTGGTCGATGATGGACTGAAACTGCTACAAACTGTGAGCTAAATTAACCTTTCTTCCTTTAACTTTGAATGTCTGATTTTTTTTTTTTTTTTTTTTTTTTTAGGACCGGGTGTACAGGGTATATAGGGTCTCATTGCATAGATAAGACTCATAGTAATTTTCCTGTTTACAGCCTCCCAATTGCTAGGATTACAGGCATGCCACCACGCCCGGTCTCAATGCTGTCTCAGTGTGCTCTGGGGGTGGGGCCAGCGTGGCAGGCCCGGGGATCATCGAACTCCTGGCCCCTGTGTCTGCCTTAGCAGCTGCTTTAATCCATTGAGCTATTTTGCTGGCCAGGATGTCTGATTTTTGCCTCAGCAACGAAAGAAAAATAACTAAGACATCCATACATGCTTAGGAACGTATGTACCTCTTAAAACCATCAATACTCAATGACTTCATAGTATCTAATACATTAACAGTAAGCCAGGTATGGCAGTGCAAACCTATAATCCCAGCACTGTGGGAGGCCAAAGCAGGATGATTGTAAATTCCAGTCCATCCTGGGAAACTTAATGCTTCAATGAGACCCTGTCTCAAAATACAAATAAATAAATATATTTTTTAAAAAAAGATTTAGGATGTAGCCCAGTGAGAAGACCCTAGGTTCAGTTCTCAGTATTTTTCCACTCAACAGAAGCAGTGATGCTTGGATTTTTGGGGGGCAAGTATCCAGTTCCCATAAAAAAGTCTTTATCTCATGGGCAATTCCTTAGCAGTTTGCTTGAATCAGGGTCCAGATAAGCTTCAAGTGTCACAGCTCGTCGATCTATCTCTGATGCTCTTCTTTTCCTACAGCCCCATGTCTGTCCATTTTTGGGTTGCTAAAACAGAACCTTACAAACTGGAAAATTTCTCAAGGAGGACAGAGGTTGAATTTAGCTCATGGCTCTGGAGGCTAGGAAGTCCAAGAGCGTGGAGCTGCCATCCGCTTAGCGCCTGGCAAGGGCCCTGCCTCTGGGTCCTAGCATGGCACAGAGACCCACGGTGAGACAGAAGGAGCAGACCAGAGAGAGCTTGCTTTTACACCAAAGCCTGTCTTGTGGTAGCCCAGGAATCTCCTTATTCGTGAATGGGGTTGAGGGCAGAGCCCCCTTGACTCAATCACTCTTGGTGGGCCTGTGTCTTAACACTTTACAATGAGGATTAAATTTCAATCTCTATTTCTTGGGGCGGTCCAAACCATAGCACCTCCTCTGCTCCCCCCCCCCCCCCGCTTCTGTATCTTTGTGTGTTTCCTACAGATGATGACAAAGGAACTGGGTCCTTTGTTCAGTGGAGTTTCCTGTGCTGGCCATCCATCAGCAAGGCTGGAGACATGCCTGCCCCCTACTCCCAATCAAGTCTCCAATCTGTCCCCTCCTCTGGGTCTCTGAGGCTTCCCCCTTGCCAACTCTCTTTCCTTTGGTTTTACAGGAGCTACCATCTTGGCCTTCCTGTTATTCATGCTGTCCCCTCCACCCGGCACAGAGGGATACATCTTCTCATTTCCCAAGGGTTAAATCCAACTCTTCCCTGCACCTCCACGGGCCTCCATAGTGCCACTGGTACCTCATTTCATGCCGCACTGGTCCCCATCCTTCCAGATACCCTCACCTGCTCCTGCCTTCCTGCCTCACCTCACTCTCTCTCACCCTGATGCTCAGCACATGTCCTCTGGTCTGGCTTCCCTTCCTGATGCCATCCACTGACTCCTGCTCACCTTCCAGGTCTCCCTGCCGTCACTGACTACAAAGCCCTTTCCCAGGGCTTTTTGGAATATTTCCTTCCCCTGGAAAAATGTTAGCACCGACAGTCTGCCTGTGACTAGAGGCTACCGAGGAGCAGATGGGCCCAGGCCATGCTGCCGTGGTTGGTGCTGGGGCCTTCAGAAGGCCAAGGCAGTGACCCTGACCTACCCTTTCTGCAGCATGGCTATCCTTTTCTACCTGTGCCGCAAGTACAGTGCACCTTCTCACTGGTACCCTCCAGACTTGCACATGCGTGCCCGAGTGGACGAGTTCATGTCCTGGCAGCACATAGCCATTCAGCAGCCCATGAGCAAGCTACTCTGGATCAAGGTGAGCAGGTCCACATCTGGGCCTCAGGGACAAGGGAGCAAAGGTGACAAGAACCCTGGAGTCCCATCCCCACTCGATGGACTGCTGAGGAGCTCAGGCACATCTTCTTCCCTCCCTGAGCCTCACTGCCTCTGTTCCCTCCCCTGCCTGCCTTACAGAGCCGCTAGAGGTTTACAATGAACCCCTGAGTGTGAAAGAGTTGTTTCAACAAGAAGAGAGATACCCAGGAAAGGTTCATATGACTCAAACCAGGACAGGAATAAAGAAATTTCATTCTGAGCTAGAAAAATGAGTCAAAAGACCCAAAAGACAAATAACCAGACTATATGTCTCTATTTCCAATCTTATGCTTGTGCCGTAGTCTGTTTCACATTACTATAATAAAACACCAGAGGCTGAGCAACTTTTTTTAAAAAGAGGCTTATTTTACTCACAGTTTTGGAGACTGAAAGTTCCAACAGCACAGAACCACCTCTGCACAATGGATGCAAGCCCTTGAAGGGTCACATGGCAAGACAAGAGGTCAGAGAGTGGGGATAATGTCACTCTCCCTCTTTGATTATAACTTGATGTCTTAGGAATGGATTCAGAGTCCTATGAGAACTACCTTATTAATCCCTTTCCAGGTCAGTGGGGATCAAATCTAAAGGTACTCTACCACCAAGCTACGCATATTTTTTCACAGACTCATAAGGATGCTAGAGTTGTCTCTTTGGGAGAAGGGAAGATGTCTTTTTTTTTGGGGGGGGTGCAGAACCGGGGATTGAACTCAGGCCTTTGCACTTGCCAGAGAAGCACTTATTCCACTGAGCCATCTCCCAGCCTACCACCGAGCTATGTCCCCAGGCCCCCCCCTCCTTTTTTCAAGACAGGGTCTCCCTAAGTTGCCCAGGGACTGACTGATTCTGCTGCTTCAGCTTCCTCAGTAGCTGAGATTACAGGCGTGTGTCCCCATGCCTCTCAAAGGCTAAAGCACTGTGAGCTTCCACCAGCTCTCATACTGCTGCCCTGGAGATCAAGCTTCCAACACACCAACTCTTGGGGACACCCTCAAACCACACCCAAGCCATTGCAACTTGTGACAGATCTCACTAATCCATCACAGGACTCCTCACTGGAGCCTCAAATTCCTTTTGAACCAATTAGTGGCCCCATGAATCTTCATTATTAGTCAGAACTGCAAAAAGATGGAGAACTGTTTCCATCCTTGGTATGGTCCAATATCTATCTAGCAGATAAGGATATGGAAGCCTGGAGGGTAGGTGGGACAGGTGTGCAGCATCGACTTCCCTTCTCTCCCCAACCTGGCCAGTTGCTGATCCCCATGATCACAGGTGAGGAGGTTTCAGTGGAGAAGACCAATCAAGTACTGGAAGAGGTGAAGAAAAACCTCCAGTTATTCGAGGAGAAGTTTCTACAGGACAGGATGTTCATCACAGGGGACCACATCTCACTGGCTGACTTGGTGGCCTTGATGGAGATGATGCAGGTGAGGGATGGGAGGCTGGGGGTGGGCCAGAGCCTGAGCAGAGGCAGAAGGCACCTGACATTGGCAGGGTCATAAATTGAGGCTGGATTAGTGAAGCTAGAGAGGCAAGTAAGGCCACAGTGAGGGCTGTGGAAGTCAGGTCAGGGTGAACTTTCTTTTTTTTCTTTTTTGGTGGAACCAGGGATTGAACTCAGGCCTTTGAGTTTACCAGGCATGTGCTTATTCTACTGAGACATTTCCCAGCCCCAGGGTGAACTTTCTTGACAAGAAATCTACAATGTGGGGAGGAGCTAGAGGGTGAGACCAGGATAAAGAGAACACCGCATCCCCTGGTCTATCTCCCGGCATCCCAGATGCCTCCTCCTCTTCCTCTGGACTTTTAGAACATGTTCAGAGCCTCAAGAGGTGTCCTCCTGGCCTTGCCTCTTCTCCAGAGCTCCAGCCAAGTTTGCTGGGTCAGGGCAGTATCTGATATGAAGGTGGAGGCACATGGTGGTCTTTATGTGGCTTTTGGTGGCCTTTACAATCAGGGAAGGGTAGCCAGTTCTGGGGGAGCAGGTATGTGCAGGATGGGCAGTTTAGATCCAGTCAGTGTCTTGCAAGTCAGCACCAGCCCTGATTGGTATCCATGGTGCTAACTTTGGTTCTGTTCAACGTGCAGTGCAGTGTAACTGAGCTGTTCCAAGTTACAGCCCTGCACCCTTTATCCTCTACTCTCCTATGAGAGTCCCCTAACACCTTGAATGCGTATTTCCTAACAAGCCAACAAGGCTGTCACATGTCTTTCAGCCTCTATGCCTGATCACAGAGTGAAGTGCAACACAGGGGGAGGGGAGCTGAGGGCCCCTCCCTGTCCTTGGTGTTGAGGGTTTCCTTCAGAGAAAGCAGGACCTGTGGGAGGTTTTAGGCTAGAGAAGTGGAAACCGCCTCAGGGCTGGGGGTCACCTCAGAAAGGGCTTCAGACACTGCAGCCAAATCAGGGACCAAAGAAGCTGGGGAATGATGGCTCCTCCATCCTAAATTCACCTCTAGCTTGTGAGCCCTTGCCCAGGCCTTGGGTCACTAGGAAGATGAGGAAGGGCCTCGAGACTGGAAGAGAAGACACGAGAGGGCTGTCCCTACGCTATGTCTCCCTTTCTGTCCACAGCCCATGGGGGGCAATCATAACGTCTTCCTTGGCAGCTCCAAGCTGGCCGAGTGGCGCATGCGCGTGGAGCTGTACATCGGCTCTAGCCTCTTCTGGGAGGCCCATGATCGGCTGGTGAAGTTAGTAGAGTGGGACGTTTCGACGTTGGATCCAATGGTGAGAGAAAGGATCTGCAACTTTGCGGTGACCTACAAATGACCTACAGGGAGCTCATCCTCCAGAGACCCGCTGACTCAGCCCCCTGAGCCTCCTCCTTCACGAGAGAGGCTGAAAAACAAGTCTGTTCTTTTATCTAATAAAGAACTGGAAGAACCATCATGGTTGCTGAGTTGGGGACAGTTGATGTCTTGGTTACTTTTCTCATTGCTGGAACAAAATACTGGATGCCCAAGTTCAAAGGAGGAAAGGTTTATTTAGCTCACAGTTTGTGGAAGTTTCAGTCCATACTTGGCTGGCTCCAAGGCAGGTTGGCACATGGCAGAGGGCAACAGTTAGTGATGGCAGGGAACAGAAAAAGCCATGAGAGCAAAAAGGGAGGATCAGCAGGGAGCAATCCTCTTTCCCTCCCTGATATTGTGTGCAGGCTGCCTGCCGCAGGGTGGGTGTAACACTCACACCCATAATCCCAGCATTGGATCACGAGTCAATCCCAAACTCTACAAGCCCGCCCCATGACTGCATGAGGCTTCCAGGGATCATCTAGACATAAGCCATAACAGTTGGTATAATCAGAGTCTGATGTAGAAGTGGGTGATGGTCACAGGTCTTCTCTTTTCTTTTGTTTTTTTATTTTTTTGTGGTACCAGGGATTGAACGTGGAACCTTGCACTTGCCAGGCAGGTACTTATGCCACTGAGTTATTTCCCCAGCCCCTCATTTTTCATAAAGAATACAAAACTTAAAAGTTAAATATGATTAAATTATCAATAATAATAACTGATGACTTTTTTTTTTTTTTTGCAGAACCAGGGATTGAACTCAGATCCTTGTGCTTGCCAGGCAAGCACTTATTCTGCTGAACCATCTCCCCGGCCCCTGATGACTTTAACAGCCCCTTTCAACAATAGAATAACTAGATAGAAAATCATCAAGGAACAACACCATAAGCCAGTTGGACCTACTAGAACACACTCCCCACAACAACAGACTAAACGTTTTTCTCAAATGCACAGGCTATATATTAGTCTATAAAGTAAATATCAAATTTCAAGAGACTGAAACCATGCAAAGTATATTCCCTGAACACAGTGAAATTTAAAGAGCAAATTTATTTATTTATTATGCATTTAGTACAGGGTCTGTGGGGTCTCAATACACAGATCGGGCTTGGAGTGATCCTTCTCGTTTTTCAGCCTCCCAAGCACTGGGATTACAAGCGTGTTTAAGAGCAAATTTAAAAAAATCTAGACGCTTCATAAATAGGCTCCCAGACTCCATTAGTTTTTTTAAATTTTATTTATTTAATTTATTTGTGTGTGGGGGGCAGCTCAGCCCACCAGGGGGCGGAGCTGGCTGGCATATGGTGCTGGGGGATTGAACCGCGGTCCCTGTGCTTTAGCTAAGCTTGTTCTAAGTAGGTGCTTTAGACCACTGAGCCATCTCACCAGCCCAACTCCATTAGTTTTGACTGCCTAAACTCAGAGATGATTAGATTCAGCCCTGTCTGACCATATACAGCTGCATCAAGGCCAGAAAAACATCCTGTTCGCTAGCCTGCTTCAGGCTTTTTCTGCTTGGGACAGAATTCCTGCTCCGGACGCAGTGACCCAGTCAAGAACGCAAGTGATTGATTACACCTTGGCAGCAATTCGCTTGTCATTCCCCCTATAACATGCTCATTTCTTTTTCTTTTTCTTTTCTTTCTTTCTTTCTTTCTTTCTTTCTTTCTTTCTTTCTTTCTTTTTTTTTTTTGTAGCCAGCTCAGCCCACTCTGGGGGCAGGGCTGGTGTGGCATGCAGTGCCAGGGATTGAACTGTGGATCTGTCCATTTGCCTAAGCTTGCCTAAGTAGGCGTTTTAGACTGCTAAGCTATCTTGCTGGCCCCTCCCCTATAATATGCTAAGTAACCTCTATCCAACACCCACCCCAAGTAAATCTGCCTAGAAATACATGACTAAACATATGTAACCAATGATGAAGTACTCGCTCTCAGCCTTTGTAATCCTGCTTGCAAAAATGTGTTTTAAGAGCCTGCTTTGCTCTTGCTCAGGGTTGATGATTTGGAACTTGCCTTCCCACAGCCCCCTAGTGTTAACAAAGTACGACGCCTTCCAAACTCGTTGGTGCGCAGTGTTTGCCATCCGGTCCTGATTTCTGCAACAAAATGAAATTAGAAATCAATAGCAGAAGGAAAACTAAACAGATCACAGGTAGAAACTAAACAACACCCTTGTAAACAGCAAATGGGTCAAAGAAGAAATCACCAGGGAAGTTACCAAGGATCT